AGGACTAAAAAACCAAATCAAACCAAACCAAACAAAAAAAAATAGTTGAATATTAGTTATTTCATGTGGTTCAACCTAATACACACACACACACACACACACACACACACGTGTGTATATATATTTATTTAATTTTTTTCTTTATTGATTCTAGACAGAGAGGAAGGGAGAGGGAGAGGGAGAGGGAGATAGAAACATCAATGAGAGACAACATTGATTGTCTCCTACATGCCCCACCACTGGGGATTTGGCCCACAACCTGGGCATGTGCCCTGAGTGAGAATCAAACCGGCGACCTCTTGGTGCACAGGCTGACGTTCTATCACTGAGCCACACCGGCTGTGCTCAATCTAATATTTTTAATACACACCAGATGAAGAATAAATACAAAAACCTCTTACAAAACAAGACCAAAAATTCAACAGAAAAAATGGCTAAAAGATTTCAACAAGCAGATCACAAGAAACAAATGCTAATGTACATAAGAAAAGATAAACAACCTCACTGGTGAACAAATGGAAATAAACATTGAAACACAAACCATGGTATATGTGCCAGATCGGTACAACACAATGCAACCGAGAGGCCCAGTTTTGCTAAGTATGTGAAGAAAAGTGCACTCAAACATCACTGGTTGGAGTACAAATGGGTGTCAACTTTTCTGAAGTGTAATTTAGTAGTACCTGTTTGGCATGCTCTTGGGACTAGCAATTTCACTTCTAGGGACTCTCCTTCAGAAAAATATATATTTAAATTTATATGCTCAAGAAAATATGTGCAAGATAGTCACTGCAATGTTATTTGTAACAGCTAAAAATTATAGACATTTTAAATGTCCTTCTGTTGCCCGGCCAGTATGGCACAAAAGTTGAGCATCAACCCATGAACCAATAGGTCCCTGGTTCATTTCCTGATCAGGGCACATGCCTGAGTGACAGGCTCGATCCCCAGTAGGGGGCATGCAGGAGGCAGCCAGTCAATGTTTCTCTCTTATTTATGTTTTTATCTCCCTCTCTCTTCCTCTCTAAAAAAATCAATAAAAACATATTTTTAAAAAATGTCCTTCTATAGAATAATCGTTAAATAAACTATAGTAAAGCCTTATTAAGAAAATAAATGTAAGCGCTGAAAATGATGAGGTAGGGTAGATTTGTAAGCCCAGACTTAAAAAGGTGGCCATGATGTTTGTAAATAAAAACAAGCAAGATATAGAAAAGTATGGATACTTAGATCCCATTTTTCCAAACACAACAAAGAAAAATAATATAGGCAGGTCTATCCACATGCAGGAAAAGGTCTGGAAGAATATATCAATAGGAGAGCAACAACACTTCTAAATTGCTTTGATTTTTTTTTTAATTCTCATCCGAGGATATTTTTCCATTTATTTTCAGACAGAGTGGGAAGGAGAGACAGAGACAGAAAGAGAGAGAAACACTGATGTGAGAGAGACATTGATTGGTTGCCTCCCCCGACCAGGGCCATGGACCAAACCACAACCAACATGCATGTCCTTGACTGGAATCAAATCTGCGACTCTATGGTCCATGGGCCAACACTCTAACCACTGAGCCAAACTGGCCAGAGCTGTTTTGATTTTTTTTGAAATTTTTTTTCTTTATTGATGTTAGAGAGAGAGAGGAAGGGAGAGGGAGACAGAGACAGAAACACTGATGAGAGAGAATACCGATTGGCTGTCTCCCGCATGCCCCACATTGGGGATCGGGCCCACAACCTGGGCATGTGCCCTGACTGGGAATTAAACTGGCGACCTCTTGGTGCACGGGTCAGTGCTCAACCACTGAGCCACACCAGCCAGGCTGTTTTGAGTTTTTGAGGAGGGTGTACTTCTACAACTTTTTTAAGGCAAGGAGCAATAAGAAATGTGCTTGCTACCTGCTTTGGAGCAGAGAAGGGAGCAGAGGGAGCCATTAGAGGTCCAAGGACAAGGATCTGAGATGAGACACCACCGAGTCATATTAAGAGCATAGGTATTAAGGTAAAAAAAGCCTGGGTTTGAGTTTTAAAAGCTCATTAAATCTCCAAGACTTGGATTTTCTCACCTGTAATATGGGTTGATACACCTACCTTAAAGAGATATTGGGGCTCTGGCCAGTTTTCTCAGTGGTTAGAGCATCAGCCCATAAACCCAAGCGTCTGGGTTCGATTCCCAGTCAAGGACACATACCTGGGTTGCAGGTTCAATCTCTAGCCCTGGTTGATGTGTCTCTCTCACATCAATGTTTCTCTCTCTCTCTTTCTCTCCCTCTCTCCCTTCCATTCTCTCTAAAAATCAATAGAAAAATATCCTCAGGTGAGGATTAACAGAAAACAAACAAAAAAAAGAGATATCGGGCCCTGACTGAGTGGCTCAGTTGGTTGCAGAATCATCCTATACTCCAAAAAGTTGTGGGTTCAATTCTCAGTCAGGGCACATATCTAGATTGTGGGGTTCAATACCTGGTCGGGTGCATATGGGAGGCAACTGATCAATGTTTCTCTCTCACATCAATGTTTCTCTCTCCCTTCCTCTCTCTAAAAATCAATAAAACAAAACAAAATGAAGTTGTTCATGAAAAAAAGAAAGAGATATTGGGGCCTACTAAATAAAATCAGGTATGTAAAAGTACTTTGCAAATGGTAAAGTGCTTTAAAAATCAGGGTGATACTACTGCTTGGTATGACAGAGCCCTAGGTTGGAAACCAGAAAAACAAGGACTAACACTACAAAGTCCTAAGGGAAAAAGAGACGGATGGGAACTGATGAGATGTATCAACCAATTAGAATGTGTGCACCCGATTTGGACTTCAATTTAAACTGTTAAATATATTTATGAGAATTAGAAAAATCTAAATACTATTATATATGAGATTATATTAAGTTACTATTTACCTTTTAGACATAATAATTGTATTATAGCTATGGGTTTCTTCAATCATTATGTTCTAGAGATACATATGGAAATGCTTATGGATGAAATATGATGCTTGATATTGAGATTAGTTCCCAAATAATTCACAAAGCTGAGGGGATGGAGAATGAATAGAGGTATAGATGATACAAGATTGGCTGTTGAAGTTGGGTGATAAGTATATGGTATTTGTAGTATTCTTTTACCTACTTTTACATATGCTTAAAATGTACCATAGTTAAAATTTTTGTAAACAGTAAATGAACCTCATCCTCCTAGGTCTAGGAGAAGGTAATCTGAAGTCTGTTGCAGAGGTGAAACTGAAGGCTACTGAATACTGAAGGCTTGCCAGGAGCCCAGCTCCACTGCATCAACACTGTGGGTCAGCAGGGGGCGCTGAATGGCCAAATACCAAGATGGGAATGCAGCCTATTAATCAAAGAAAAGCAGAGTGCTTGATGGGCTGATGGGGTTGAGGCAGTAATGGGATGGGCGCCTATAGAAAGTAAAGAAAATTTTGGTACAAAATATAAATGGCAGCCAATAGCAAGATAATTAAACATCCAACTAGAACTGCAGCTGCTGAGAATGCCTTTTAACTGGCATAATACTGTTACCAAGGTTTCAGGCCACCATGTAGACTTCAAATGAAGATTAATGAATGAATTAACACCTTTCTAGGCTCACCCTTTAATACTATTTTAGAAAAGTGCTATTGCAGGAAGCAACCAAACACATCCCACAGATCAGCTGCACTGCTTTTAATAAAATTAAACACACAGTTAAGCTGCCTCCAAAAGTTGACCTATTAATGTGAGGGCAAAATGAAAATCCTCTAGCAAAAGCTTTATTTATTTATATTCTTCTAGTAGCTAAAGTTTCACTAGTCTCGCTTTTGCTTAGGATCCCCTAACAGTAGTGGTCAAGAATGACCTTCCACCCTGACTCAGTTCTGCCCTGGTTGCTGCCACTTGAGGAGAACCAGGATGATGTCATTCTGTTGCCTTACTTTTTGAGACTGCCTAATGGAAGACCGAAACATTAACCCTTTAAGCCCCATCAGAAAACCTGAATGGAATGAATCAAGTGAGACATTTTTTAGCCTCCTCGTCAAGGGTCTCCAATCTAGTTCACTTCTCATTACCCTCTTGCCCCCTGGCAACAGCTTTCTCCAAAAACCACAATGATCTACTCCACCACCCGTCATCTCCAGTCTAAAGAAAAAAGTTCTAATCCTACCTCTGCCACTAAGAAGAAGACAGGGAATCTTATAACCCATATGTGAAGTGAGCAGATTAAATGGATAGTTTTCTAAGACCCTTTCCAATATTCTGATTCCCACATGAGTTTCTCTTTAACTAAGAGAACCAAGCATCAGGCCATGACAGATGGGTTTTCCTTTGAACCTCTAAGCACAAGTGATTAGGGAAACAAAAAAAGGGGGGGTGCATCTTCAAATCCTTTTAAGACTCTGCCTAGTTTAGGCCTGGCCAGGGGAGGAGGCTGGGGCTGCAAGGAAACCTAACCGCCACTGTGACATCTATCACTCTACCCAAAGTGACAGGAACCCAGAGGAGTAAGAGTGAAGGAAGAGGGGAAGAAACCAAGGTGTGGGAGCACTCCTTGGTCCATTCCATTACCTCCCATGTGAGCTGGATTCTGGTGCCACAACCTTTCCCCCTCTACATGTCCACATCCTGCTACTGAGTAACAACATGTGGACTAGAGTGGGAAGGCCTGATAAACAAACTGAAATTTCAGCTCTCATGGATGATGGCCTGTGTTTCAGACAAGTTCAAAATAATCCTAAAATGACCTCAAATAAACCATCAAACCATCTGTTTATGGCAGAACATAACAATCAATTGGGTCATTTTGGTGACAAAGCAAGTCTTTTTATGTGTGATTTGCAACCATCTCAAGATATAAAATCCAGGTTGCTACCGCTGTTAAAACAGGCTTAACTGGGCACTCTAAAGTCACTATCCTTTCTTAGCAAGACATGCCTACTGGCTGTACTCGACAAACAAACAGACCGAAGATGAGAAAGAACAATAGCTTGTTCAACTTGGTACTCATGCTTCTTACCCACATATTCTGAGAGGAAGACGACAAAGAACGGAGTGACCAGGTCATTAATTCCCTGGACATACCCACTGGCAGGGTGTCGGATGGCCCAAATAAATAGAATTCTTTCGAAGATCTAGGAAAGAAAGAAGACATGACTGTTAAACCATGGGGCTACTCTCTCTCCTGCCATTTACCTATCTCAATGCATCTCAGGGTTGCTGCAGAGTTTTTAGGAACATTTTTTAAATACTATGAGATGGAGTATAGAAACAAAAAGCTTCAAAGACACTAATTGCTTTTAAGCAGAGGTAGATACTCCTTGCCCTTTATCTTTTCAGTCTCTAGTCACTGTGATATAAAATTGGGAAAAGAAAAGGATGATGACATGACAGCTTAGAAAAAGGTTTGCAGTGGATGTCACTGACTCAGGATGTCATCATTCAGGACATCTAAGTTCTGATACTTCTGCTAAATCTTTTTTTGTCATTACAGGATATAGATAGGAAATATCTTCTCTACCACCCTCTCCTTTCTCCCTGCTGAGACGGAAAAAGATCTAGTGACCGACGATAAATGCAGGAAGTCACTTCATACATCAGGATGCAACCCAGACATTTACTGGGGATAGAGAGTTAAATAAACCAAATCCTATGGATTCCTACAGCTGGGAGTCTGACAAAAGAGAATCAGCCAGGGCCTCCATGGAAAGCCTCTGGGGTTAAGTCACAAGACGCTAGAGGCTTAGGATGGAGAGAAAGAAATCTTTATGGTCCTTTAGAGTCTGGCCCTGTCCCTTCAGCTACATTCCCCTCTGCTTTCATAAGGCTCTCCGCGCTTCCCCCGTCTTCTCTCAGCCTCAAAATACTCATTCCCTTGCTTCACCCCGCTGACCACAACTCCTGGGCTCGACATGGACTGCTCCGTCTCTGTGGTATTGGCGATGCAGAGGGACAGGAGAGTACAGGGCCTCCAAAGCATATGGGCTCTGCAGACAAACTGAAGAGGCCCTCTCAGAGGTCAGGCGGAGGGAGAAAAAAGCTCCCAGGGAGAACAGTAAAAAAGAAACAGTTGTATGGTTTTGGAATTGGCTAGTGCAGGGGAGAGGTGGAGAATTTCAAGACACGTGTAGAGTCTGCCTTCCAGCTGGCAGAGCTGAGACACACTCCCACTGCCAACACTCCTGCACGTCCAGGAGTGAGAACACAGCCCTGTCTGCAAGGCGCTGGCCTCTCTGCCTCCACTAGACTTGCCTGCTTGCTCTTGGGGCTGAGGGGAGGGCATAGTGTCATCATTAGTGTTAGAGCCAACATTTCTAATGGGGGCCCGCCTGCATTCTTTCCTCTCAGCTAAATGACCCTTGAAACTGCAGGTAGGTTAAGCTAGACCATGTTCAGGATGATCCCACGGATTCTCTGCCCTACTGTTTCCTCACATCTCCTGTGGCCTGTGTCTGTCTGGATGTCTCTGTTAAAAGCTCCTCTATTCCACACTACCAGCCCTTTGTGAATACAAATCCTTGGTGACTGACTTTAATAAAGGGCCAGCCCTTTACAGTAAGGATGAGACAATGCAGACACACTCACCCTATACCAGTGAAGATGCCAAAGGGGAGGAAATTGAACAGTAACCAGGTTACCAAAGGAGACCACGGAATCTTCAGAATAAGTCTGGGATGATCTGGCCTTGCAGGTAGGAGAGGAGAGGATAACCCCTGAAGGTTTTTCTGCACCTCTTCCACTAGTGTGGGTAATTCTGACTTACTGTAGTTAATGCCAACGTATCTTTCAGGTTTGCAAAGCAAGTCTTTCAATATTCAGGGTTACTCAGTTCTATGCTCCCTGCTTAGCATTTTACTCTCTTTAAGAAGACTAAAGCCTGCTAAACAGAAAGGTGATTTGAGAAAAATTGGAGACTATAGTTTGATTTCCTCTTTGTATTCAGGTTCTGCTATTAGGAGAAGCCTTTTAAATAAGCTACCTTCCTTGTCCCTAAGCCTGGAGTAAAGATGCACAGGGAGAAGTATCTGAACGTCTCCAAATTAAAATGAGAAATAAGCAGGACTGAGTCACGGGAAACTGTATGGGAAACACAGAGGGATCCTGAATGGGGTTTCAGCTTCCTCTCAGCTGATTTTTACAGGTAAAATGATGGTGTCACCCTCAAAATCTTCTTTATGCTATTGGTAAGACATGAGGTTCCCATCAGCAGAGACATTTATAATTGAACAGAATTATGAACACAGTCTAAGGTCAATATAAACCCTTTCGGGCATCTTACCACCAGCCCTCCCTGTCGTGAGGCACCTGAAGGCGCAATCACAGAGCACGCAGGCCCAGTGCCTAGCGACTCTGAAGCTACAAAGGCAATGCTTAATCTCCAGGAGTTCATGGCTACTGCGTGGGCAAAGGACAAGAAATAGTTCCACTGAGACTTTCCATGTACTTGGCTAACCTGCTAGGTCTCAAAGTATCACTACTAATTCCACTTCTGGGTATATACCCAAAAGAATTTAAAACAGGTACTCAGATATTCACCTGCCGATGTTCATAGCAGCGTTATTCACAATACCCAAAGGTGGAAGCAACCAAACTGTCCACTGATAGATGAATGGATCAATATGTGTTATATACATATAATGAAATGTCATTCAGCCTTTAAAAAAAGGACATTCTGACACATGCTATAACATGGATGAACCTTGAAGTTGTTATGCTAAGTGAAATAAGCTAGACACAAAAGAACAAATATTGTATGATCCCACTTATCACAGGTACCGAGAGTAGTCAAATACATAGAGATAGAAAGTAGAATGGTGGTTGCTAGGGAATAGAGAATTAGTTACTGTTTAATGGGGACAGTTTTAGTTTGGGAAGATAAAAAGTTCTAGAGATGGATGGTGGAGATGGTTGTTTTGTTATGTATATTTATAACAATTAAAAAATCATTACCCCAGCTTGATAAAGTAGGGCAAACACAGGACTAGGAATTCTAAGACGTGGGCTCTAGTCTTCCTTCTGTCACCAGGTAGTCTCAAGACTCTGGCAAGTCCCTTGAACTCTCAGCACTACTCGGCCATGGGTCTGACATGAGAAGGCACAAGCAAGTGCTCTGAAGGGACCCAAGCTCCACATCTGCACACAGGTATGTCACGGTTAGCTGTGAACCTGCCCATGGTTGGAGAGAAGACTCCAGCACTCATCCACACAGAACAGGTGCCGCAGAGGTATGAGCGGAGAAGGGCCGAGAGCGTTAAGTACTTCCCTCACCTCCTGTACAAGTGGTTGCTGGAACAATGGAATGAGAGGATTCGTCCTTGGAATGTCAATGTGGATCTGAAAAAGAGAAGCCATGGCCAAAACACAAATGCCACCTTGTTCTTTTGCGACGTTATTTTCTTAGTAAGAACTAGGATTGAGGGAGTACGAGTGACAGCACAATTTATCTTTGGAAAGAACTGACATACCAAAAAAGTCCAGCTAAACCTTCCTGTCCATCTGGAATACGTTTTCATGATAGCAATAACTTGCTGAACAGTGAGGAAACCTCCTCCCCAAAACCAAAAGCAACAGGCTTCACAACTTGAGCGAGTCCCCTGCTTTTCCCTATTGTTCTGAAGTCTGTTTCACTTCTTTAATACTGACCAAAATATGTACCCCTTTCTGAATCTCACTCATGAACAGTTCCAGGCACTGAAAGAGCTCTGACAGCTGTAAAAACGTGCCAGGAACCAAGGACCTGCTCATGAAGTCATGATGCGTGAGAAGTGGGGAAACCGGGGGGACCTGACCTTCAGTAAATGGCACCAAAAGTTCTGACTTCTGTTACCAGAGGTCACTGTGTTGGTTTGGCCTCGGGATTCCCCAGTGCCCAGTGTGACAACTGAAAGGACCGTGTCAGCAGCGGCAGAGGGTACTTCCGTTTCTAGGGCTTGTTGTAGACAGCTGCCTCCCCCGGTCTTTTCCCTCTTCTGCAGCCCCAGACTCCTCTCCCCTCCACCTTCCCGCAGGCTGTGGGGACCACTATGAGCAATGAGGGAACTCCCTGCCAAGGCTGCCGATGGCGACAGCTCCTGCAGACAGACAGACAGACATGGGTACTGAACAGGCACTGAAGTCACAGTCCAGAGGGACTGGACCCCTCCTGAGTGAATGCATCTTTCATCTCATGTCCCATAACCCTTACTACTAGAGTGAGGTCTGCAGAAGCAGCGGTGGCATCACCTGGAAGTGAAGGTCTCACCCCAGACCTGCTGAATTAGAATCTGCATTTTATCATAAGCCTAGATGGGATTTCATCAAAATCCTAGGTGATTTATTTGTGCATTAAAGTTTGAGAAGCACTGCCACTGGCCGGGGGTGGGGGTGGGAGGCTCTATTTTAAATGGTTAAAATCAAGCCTGGCCAGTGTGGCTCACTAGTTGAGCGTCGACCCAGGTTGTGGGCCTGATCCCCAGTGGAGGGTGTGCAGGAGGTGGCCAATCAATGTTCTCTCTCATTGATGTTTCTCTCAGTCTCTCCCTCTCCCTTCCTCTCTCTTTAAAATCAATAAAGAAAAAAAATTTTTTTAAATAAATAATTAAAAATAAGATGGCTAAAATCAGAGCTACTGAATTGGAAAGAGGGGAAGCAGTTCTGGGAATGAATTCTTTCTTCAGACCCCCATACCTACTCTGCATGCTGTTAGGAATAAATTTAATTCCTAACCAGCACACCACAGCCTGAAGACTTGGAAGACCTGTACCCTGATAATGCCCCCAGGGGACACACTTTAAGATTATGACTAGTAAGCAAAGGGCAGCAGGTGACAACTGTACCTGTCTGTAGGTATCCTGATGATGCTCCTCATTTCGAGAGTCATAATACTGCTCAATGAAGCCAAAATATTCCTCCCGCTTCCGCTGCAAGGTCAACTTCCTCCTCTCGGTGTTGGCTGGGAGATAGCCCTATAGACAGGATTGATGGTCAGATGGCTGGATGAATCCCTAATTTTTATTTTAGCCTGAGCAGTGATTTGGAAACTATCAAAGGAATGGAAGGAAAACTGCCAAGAGAACAAAAGTAGATCCCTCTGGTTTCGGCCACCCAGCGTCTGCCCTGCCCTCTCCTTATTCAGTGAGATCCACATGTGGGCAGATGAGCCAAGGCCAACATTCCCAGGGTTATTTATTCTTGCAGCTTGTACTGCTGGTGAGCACCCCAGAGCTCCCAGAGCTGGCACAGAGAGCAGTGAATGTAGGTCAGCCGGAGGGAACTGGACCCAAGTCAGGACCTCTGAGGACTGCGTGTGTGCAAGGCAACACCTCTGAGAATCACGGGAGAAGGCGTGTCTACGGCACATCCCGGTGATGTGCCATGTAAGTGTGTGCTTGGTACGCATTCTTTTCCAAGGAAATATTCAGAATTACCAGTTTGGGAAGCTGAATGGAATCTGTGGCACAGCAGCTGCAATGTCCAGATAGAGAACTTCTGGCAGTAGCCCCCCCACTCCTAGCCAAAGCTCCAGGCCAACATTCATTCTTGTCCCTGGTCTGCATCCCACTCCCAATTCTTACATCTCCTGTTCTCCTTCCGTTCTCACCAATCTCTTCATAGCACTCAAACTTTTTAGAAGTGGCAGAGACAATGTTTCTGGTTGCAGGACTGAGGGTGGGGAGAAGCCAAAAGGGAGACCCTTCCTTTCAGAGACATTATGTAATACATTCCATAGCAAGTGCCTGGTGGGCAGGGACCGTGGCTCATTCATTTTGGCATACCCTCCTGGCACCTGGCACCGTGCCTAGAGAACAGCAGGCCCTCAATGACTTCTTGCTAGATGAATGAATGAATTTTACAGGCTCAGGAAATCCAAGTGTTCCTATCACAGTGGCTGGACAGTGCTCTGCACTCAAAGTGGGACTACGCAGGCTTTGGAAGGAGGCCCATTCAACAACTCTTCACAGTTGCACAGTGGGTGTCAACCACTGGTTATTCCTACTGAAAAAGGAGTGAAGCACAGGGACTGTGGGACTGCTGTGCCTCACTATCCTTCCTTCCTGGTGTTGAGAATGGGAGACTGTGACTATGGGAAGCAACTTGTGCTCTTCTCCATGTGTGGGAATAAACTCTCCAGAATGTGTTTCTTTATGTGCAGAAAAAGGGCTACAGTCCCACAGTTCTGTCATATTCAGAAGGACTAGAGAAGTCTATGGAATAAGACTAATGTGCCTGCACTAACCTCACCAGGTAAGAAGGGCTGTGTGAGGCTCACACTTCTCTACAGTGGGTAGAACTCACCGACAGGAGTCTCCAGGTTACAGGTCGAACCTCCCTAGGAACCCCTGGCCAGCTACACTTCCTCAGTTCATCTGCAAACAGATAACAGCTTCTTGGATTAAGCTCTTCCCACATATACCCTAAAACAAACCTCAGTCAGCATGGCCTGATGCCTCCCACCATTCAAGTAAGATGACCACCACCACCACCACCACCACCACCACCACCACCACCACCACCAGCTACTGATAAGCACAGGGGAAAAGCCCAAAACAACAGCCCTGAGCAGCAAAGTGCCAAGGACACGCTCTGCAGCAGGGATCCAGTTGACAGAGGTTAGAGTTAGAGGGAAAGAGAAAGATCAGTGGGTGTGGATTTCAACAGAATCACCCTGAGGTGGGAGAGACCGAAGCCAGAATAATTGCACTATGATCTACAGGCCACAGAATCCAGTCCCACCTAATTTGGTCCCTAACTTCTGACTTAATACCTGCATGTCACTGCAATGGGCACCAGATCAGGAGATGCTGGAAAAGTAAGAGAAGGAAGAATAAAGAGCAATAGCTTCCAGGTCTCTGAGAATTCCAGTCACCAAGAGGTCCTACTTGCCTGGGGCTCACGGGACTTACCTAAGTCAGTGTTGTGGCTGGAGAGAAGCTGACGGAATTTTTCTAGGCGGGTTTTCTCCCGGACAGTCATAGGGGGTGCTCCTGAAGCATTCTGGTCCGAGATCCGGGCGACAAGGGGGATAATGGGTCGAAGAGGAAGTGACTGCTGTTTGTGGAGTGCATTCCTCAGGCACGTGTCACCTGAGATAATGTGAAAGAGAAAGAGACAGGTTGCATGAAGAGCACAGATCCTGAGAAACCTTAAACCTAACTGTTCAGTCCAGTGCCCTCCAGGAGCCATGGCTGCATGGTCTATGTGCTGCTGGGGTGCCCAGCTGAGGGGCAGCAGGGGATGGAAACCCAGCTGTGCTCCACTCTTCTGCCCAGAGGATAGGCTGTGCTTCTTCTGTACACACAAGGCACCTTATATGCTAATGGAGACTTGGATACTGCAGCAACTTTGAGAACTTTTTTGGTGACCCCAGAGGGCATTCAAATGTTTTCTTTCTTCCCCAACCTGGAACACTTCTTGGTGCCTAATAATGAGTTTGGGGTCAACAGAGTCCAAAGCCACACTCGTCTTCCTTTTCCATGTCACAAAGCACGCTGCACTGCAAGGAGGTGGCTGCTCTCCTCCGAGGGCTGGGAGGGTCAAGATTCCTGGCCCAACTCGAATCCGTTCTTGGCCCACAGTGTGCCCTGCAAGGAGTGAGAAGCTCTGGCCTAAATGAATCCCACTTTTGGTAGCTGCAGTTTCTCTGTGCTCCACATGTCTCACCAAATGAACCAGTTGTCAATTCTGCTCGGATGTGACTAAAATAGGAACACAGACTCAAGAAGAGCTCTATGTTTGGTTCTAGACATTTCTCCACTAGATGCTAAGATAGGAGAAATGAGCAGCATAGGACTAACATTCACTGAGAGCTTACTATGCATAAGCCATGGTGCTGGTCACATTTACTTCTCTCTCCTTTGATCCTTACAACACACGGTGGGGATTTATTCATGTATTTCTATTCTACAGATGAGGAAACTGCAGCTCAGACAGGTTAAGTAATTTGCCAGGGAGAGCCAAGAGGCCACCCTAGATCTTTCTGACTCCAAAACATTTATTTTACTACCCAAACAACACTCAGTTTTAAATTCTGACTGTCCTTTCATGACTGTTTCATATTCTTTATATATCAGGGCCTTAAAAAGTATGTCACAACAAAAATGAAACAGTGACAGCCAGCACAACTACAAGGTTTACAGAAGTGGTTCTCAAGCTTCCTAATGCCGTGACCCTTTAATACAGTTCCTCATGTTGTGGTGACCCCTAACCCTACAATCATTTTCGTTGCTACTTCGTAACTGTAATTTTGCTACTGTTATGAATCACCATTGGAAATAAGTGTTTTCCGATGGTCTTAGGCGACCTCCGAAGGGTTAGTGACCCACAGGTTGAGAATCACTGGTTTACAGAAACCAGTGCCACAGGGCACTTGGCCAACACCACAGTGCTGAGGCCCGTGAGCACGTCTGGCAGCAGCAACTGACTGGCAGATGCTCGGAGGGAACCTCATAAAGGGAAGGCTCTGGGTGGTCCTGGCTGCACAGGGGCAGCGCATTGGGGATGGCGGAGGGCTCTCCCTCACCCTGGAGACCCTCAATCACAGTGCACAGACACTGTCTGTAGCTGTGGCCCGTGGTCAGTTAACACTAAATGTCTGCACATGGCACCAAAAGTTACAGGCCTTCCAGCCTAATTTCATGACTACATGCTTAATCTGAAACTGTAAAAGAAGTTCTTTTGAACCCGAGCCAAGACATGCTCCAGGGCTCTTTCTTCTTCCTTTTCACCCTTTACCAGTCAGCTGTTTTAACTTTCATTTAGAATGCTGGCACTTCCCTCTCCAGCTTGAATAACTGGCTTCCAGAAAACCCTTTAGGGCAATATGAAATACAACGATGCATATTTAAAAGTGTACACTGAGAATCGCCCAATATCTGATAAAGCCACCATAACCTCAACCAGTTACTGAAGTCTCCTGAAGAGACAGAGGGGCACCTCCTCCTGCTCCCCAACCGAACAGGCAGGGAGCTGGGACACAGGGCCTTCAGGCACATGATGCTCCAAGCCTCAGGAACAGGAAAGAGATGACCTATGCTAGTGGCTGTTCCCCACTGCTGAGGAGGTCAACCAACAGTACCAAAACTTTGTGGATTTCAGCTAACAACCTTACATATATTAGTCAATATTCTTTAACCTGACCAGACCTAAAGCAATGTGAAGCAGTCAAACCATAAAAGTTTTGGACCCCAGCTTAGGGAAAGAAAGAAGAGACCGACAGGCAACAACTGGGTGTCAGGAAGTGAAGCCCCAGATTGCAGAGCCAGGCAGCTATCAAGGTGGGAGGAGCAAGCACAGCTTTTGACCAGTTAGGCTCACTGATATCATACCTTAAACTTGAGCTTGCTTATTTACCATCCAATGGAAAATCTGAGTGATGCCCTAAAGAAAAAATGGTTTTGCCCTGGCCGGTTTGGCTCAGCGGTTAGAGCATCGGCCTGCGGTCCAGAGACACTTAGGTTCGGTTCCTGCTAAGGGGGCGGACCCCAATTGCAGTTTGTCCCTGGTCCTGGACGGTCGTGCAGGTGGCAGCCACTTGATGTGTCTCTTTCACGTTTATGTTTCTCTCTCTCTCTTCCTCTCTCCCTCCCATTCTATCTGAACAAAAAATGGAAAAATGTCCTCAGGTGAGGATAAAAAAAAAAAAAAAAAAGAAAAAATGGTTTTAAGATGAACTCCGCTGAAAAGGCGGAGGCCATGGAGGGGAGCAGGACAGACTTACTGGAATTTCGGGACAGCTGGGCGTCACTGCTGGACTTTATGACCTTGTAGCTGGCAGGAACATCAGATGTTGTTGACTGGGACCGTTCAGGTTTCACCCTCAGTTTGCTGTGGTTTTCTAGGACTTGGGCTGCAGTTGCCAAAGCAACTTTTGAGTTCAGAGTTTGGAAAGAAGGGGAGGAAAAATCCTCTTCTTCATCATCACCAATGTCCCAAGCATCACTGGTATTCCGGGCAAACTCATGAAAACTGGAGGCCTTTTTATTCTTCAGAGGAACTGCATTAACTTTCGACCGTTCTTTAATGAAGCTTTAAGAAAGGAGACACCATTACCAAGGAATGGTCTGGCACATCTCGCCACCTGCTTAATGCAATACTAACAGTATTACAAACGATCTCATACACAGTCATTACCTTCTTCAAACAAAAACACCCATATCCATGCGTCATCTAGAAGCATCTAGACCAGCCGTCTGCTGCAGACAGACGCAGCTAAGACAGCAATGCTCCAGCTCCTGGCACTTAAGCAAGGCCACGGGACCAACTGTGGCCAGTGGGTTGAGGAGAGAAGTGAGCCGATCGTTTTCTAAGCCCATGTATACAAGAACAGGTGTGAGTTCTCTATAAACTTTCTTCTACCACAGTAACTGCTGGGGCTCCAGATGGTGGTGCCTCCCTCAGCCTGGATAACAGTGTGAGTCTGAGGCACAGCCTGTTCTCCACTCCCACCAGACGCCACTCTGGACATGGAGCATGAACAAGAAACAAACCTTTGTGTGTCAATCCACTAAAATTTCAGACTTAACCTGTTACGGCAACATAACATAAACTAATCCTTAGGTAGGACATAAACTCCTAGTAGAGTAAGAGGTGACTTTAGGCAGACCACAGTAGCATTAAACACCGAGTTGCAAAATGAACCTGTCGTCCTTTGTCATTCTGTTGAAGTCCTTCTCTAGCCGTGAGATGGTCCCAGTTTTGTGCTACTCTGTCTATAAAACCATATATTTTTTAACAAAATGAGGGCAGCCTCGGGACCAACATATTTGTAAGCAACAGGACCTGGCTTAGAATTTAATTAATTGTTTTAGTTTTTCACTATGTTTATTTTTAAGGTTACTTTCTATTTTTGGCAAACAGTATTGGTTTTCCATTTATGAAAGTGATATGGTTTATTTTTAAAAATAAACCTAATTGTGTAAATAAAATGAGGTTTTTTTTAAATGTATTTAGTAAACAATAGTATAGAAAATGGCAAAAAAAAAAAAAAAAAAAAAGTGAAGATTTGGGAAACACTGGATTAACTTATTGAGAAAAGAGAGCCTAGTCCTAAGAGTCATGTAGACCATCCCTACTTCCCTGAACTTTTCCTCTGTCTGTCTCCTGCTTAATGTCTAGGGGCCCTTATTCCGGATCCAGGGGACTGTGTGGTTGGGACATTTCTTACTCAAGTCTCATCTAGCATCCCTCATACCCCAAACAGGGAAGCAGAGCATTTAGCCAGAGTAAGTTTACACCTGGGTCTGGAATACAATGGATAAAAACATTAAAATGCCTCCCTGCTTCCCCAAGGAAGGCTAGGAAAATCTAGAGTAAAAACCATACCAGAGGAGCTGAAGTTCCCCCATTTCCAAGAGCAGTTACTTCCTTTGGGTTGAGGTGGGTAGTCTAATAACCCATCCCATCTCCCTAGATCAGTCCAAACTTATTCTGAAAGATAAGTGTTATTAACGTTGATAAATACAGACTGGTAATGCACACAGTTCAGTGGAATGCCCCTATTATTAACACCAAAGGAGTCAGATATCACTGAGGCATTATTTGCAAATAATAGTCTCACAGAGAGCAAAGGAAAATACATCACATGAATACAAGAGAGAACACAACATTACAAGATGTAATAGCTCAAATGTGACGAAAACAGGATACCATTTTCCACCCACTAACTTAGCAAAACTTTTATTTTATTTTATTTTTATATTTTTTAAAATCTTCACCCGAGAATATTTTTCCATTTATCTTCAGGTATAGTGGGTGGGTGAGAGGGAGGGAGGGAGAGAAACATCGATTGATTGCCTCCCACACATACCCCGACAGGGACAGGGATTGAACCTGCAACCCAGGTATGTGCCCTTGACCAGGAATCAAACCTGTGACCCTTCAGTGCATGGGCTGATGCTCTAACCATTGAGAAACACTGGCCAGGGATAGGTGACATTTAAATATATTTTTTAGAGAGAGATAGAAACATCAACCTGGGAGAGAAACATCAATTGGCTGCCTCCTACACACCCCCTACTGGGGATCAAGCCCACAACCTGGGGATGTGCCCTGACCAGGAATTGAACCCAGACCTCTCGGTTCATGGGATGACGCTCAATCCACTGAGCCACACTGGCCAGGCGACAGGTGATATTTAATTTCATTTTTATACTTCTCTGAATTATGTTTTCTTAATTGAGCATATAATTTTTATTTAGTGAAAAATGTTTTGTTAGCTTTCATCAATCCTCAAAGTAATAATACTTCTAAACCTACTAAATGAGCAAGAGGAAATGAATGAGAGCTCAAATCAAAGACAGTAAAACTGAGGCAATGCACTGTAAACATCTCCATGTCAAAAATCCACTTGAACCCTGGCCAGGTGGCTCAGTTGGTTGGAGCATTGTCCTGTACACCAAAAGGCTGAGAATTTGATTCCCAGTCAGTGCACATACTTAAGTTGCGGGTCCGATTAAAGGTCAGGACATGTATGAGAGATGAATGTTTCCCTCTCTCACATCCACGTTGCTGTTTCTCTCCCTTTCCCTCTCTCTAAAATCAATAAAAATACGTCCTTGGGTGAGGTTTTTAAAAAAGTGTTGCTAAGCAGAAAAAGACAAATACCACATGATCTCACTTATATACGGAATATAATGAACATAACAGTCTGAGGAATATGGTAGACCCAGAAACATGGAAGTAGGGCACAGACTGACATCCCTCAGAAGAGGGGGTGGGGGGGTGGGAAGAGATAAACCACAGAACTTATATGCATGTATGCATGACCAATGGACATGGATAACTAAGCCGGGGCCGGGGTGGAGGTGGGGTGGGGTGGGGGGTTCCAATGGGGTAAAAAGGTAAAATATCTGTAACAACAAACTAAATAAAAAAATTCATTAAAAAAAAAGTGTTGCTAAGTGGTTAGAGCATTAGCCTGTGCATTGAAGGGTCTCAGGTTTGATTCCCAGTCAGGGGCACGTACCTGGGTTGCAGGTTTGATCCTAGCCCAGGTTGGGGTGTGTGCAGGGGGCAGCTGGTTGATGTGTCTCTCTTATGTAGATGTTTCCCCCCCGCCCTTCCACTCTAAGAAAGGAATCAATGGAAAAAATATTCTTGGGTGAGGATTAACAACAACAAAATCCACTTGAGCAAGAAGGCAAATTACTCCTCTGCAGACCTGATGAAGCCTGCTTCTCTTCTGTAAAAGGGGTGCAGGACCCACAACCAGCGGTACACACTGCAGAGGCTCCACTGTCAGGAACAAATAGGTAGATGTATAAGAAAAATCTATCAATAAAATACTGCATATGAGTACATGGTTATTATTGTTGTTTCCTCCTTGAAGGCTAAGCATACCTCAAGATTGTACATCATGAACCCAATAGCGTGATATGGAGCACCCTGCATCACAAAGTTAACTAACCACTATTTTTTTTCTGGCTGATATTTCCTAAATACCTCTTGATATTTTGAGAATTCTTTTATTTATTTTTTATTCCTTACCTGAGGATATTTTTCTACTTATTATCAGATAGAGTGGGAGGGAGGGAGAAAGAGAGACAGAGGGAAACATCGATGTGAAAGGGACACATCGACTGGTTGCCTCCATGTCACTTGACCCGACCAGGGCTGGGGACGAACTGCAACCGAGGTACGTGCCCTTGACTGGAATCGAACCTGAGATTCATTGGTCTGCTCCAACCCTGAGCCAAACTGGCCAAGGCTATTTTGAGAATTCTTTAAATAAACCATCGAATCAAGAAGCTGAATTTTAACTCAGTTCAAAGAACTGACTGGACGCTGACATTCTAACCTCGGGTGAAGCAGATGCACACGTGGACTGTATTACAGTCTATACCAAGAGATGGGCCATGCTGAGGGGTCAGGTCTAATAGACACTGAGCTTTCTCTACAAAAGAAGGAGGTAAATTAGATAAGTGCTGGGAACATATGTGTTTGCTACATTTTTCTTTATACCTTTTTATACATTTAAAGTATTTCTTTATATTTCTTGAAGCAGATGAAGATTCAATATATGTGTACTAGATTAAGAATTAGAATGCACTCAATTAAAGGGGTTGCAAATAGCAACTGAAAGGATATGCTCCCACATAATGAGAAGGAAAGAAGGGAGGAAAGGCTGTCATTCTCCGACAGAAAGACATGAGAGATTCAAAGCAGACCATTTTGAGGCTGCTAGAAATTGTTTTAGATACACCTATCCCACAAAACCCAAAACTCAACAACCAGTTAAAAAAGTCAGCCCTGCCAAGCTGGTGTGGCCCAGTGGCTGAGCATCGACCCATGCACCAACAGGTCACCGGTTCAATTCCTGGTCAGGACATATGCCCAGGTTGTGGGCCAAATCCCAACTGGGGCATGCAGGAGGCGGCCAATCGATGTTCTCTCTCATTCATGTTTCTCTTTCTCTCCCTCTCCTTTCCTTTCTCTCTAAAATCAATAAAGGAAAAAAAAAAGTCAGCCTTGTCCTAAGAGGCGGCCTTTGTGGAGAAAGGGGTTGGTATCACCTAGATATGGGAGTCAAGGACAGAATAAAATAGAGCGAGAGTGAAGGTACCTGGTGTACCACCAAGAAAGCAGAAAAATCTGTAGACCAGCGACAATGATGGGAAGATTTAAGGCTTTGAAGATTTTCCATGCTAATTTTGTTCTCTCCAGAGGGGATAATATAAATTCATAGGTACATAATGGTTAACATTTATGGGCTATTTACTAGTCTCTATGCTAATATTTACATATACCCATTTTCTTATAAATGCTCATTCATACGTCTGTAAGTACTATTATTATCATTCCCATTTACAGATGAGGAAACTGAGGCTTACTGAGGTCATGGGCAGGCAGCAAAGTCTGGGCTCAAATCCAGGTCCACCTGACTACAGAGCCTGCATGCTCTCTACCTACTCTACCTAGAAAAACTGAAGGAAAGGGGTGAGGCCTAGTAGGATATGCAGCCTGGGAAGAGGAGTTGCCACGAAAAATGAGCACATAACAGCATAGCTATCATATCTCCAAGTGTGCAC